ATTTCCTTGTCTCTAGCAGTAACCATTGCAGCCAACTTTCCTGCAATGAAGAAAATACTGTAGTTCATATTGGTCAGGGATCAAAATACGCACCAAGCGCCAGATGCTGCCACCTCTTGATCAAGTAGGGGACTGACCTAGAAAACCCACAAAGCTGTACCGAGTTGCAGCTGGACTGAGTGCATCTAAACACTGCTCACTGTTGCCAAGACAGTTGCCTTTTCTCTGTGTTCATCCTGCCTCTTGAAAAGGCATTTCAACTCATGTTCTGGAAAGTTATTCAGGAAAGAAAAATGCAACTGTTTCCTTTCAGATTAGCAATTTAAATCAGGTCAGTGATGACTATGAGAACTGGGGCCAGCACAACTGAAAGCAAGGGACAGGAGAGAAAGAAGAGGGGGTCACCACATCATGAAGAAGAAATACACTGACTGACTCAGCTATATCATCTAACCCTACTTTAGGGGATTTGAAAAGGCAAGTGATGGAAAAATAGTCTACTCTTTAAAGTGGAAGTGGTCAAACAAGGGAAAATTGCAGCAATGATTATGAAATGCAGATTCTTCAGGTCTCTCCGCAAAACCAGAATCAATGGGACCACCCAAACTCAGCTTTGTCCTAACTTGCTTGTCACTGAAGGGACTACTCAACTCTCCAGGGTCAGTCTGTCTCACAACAAGCCCTTCCAAAAGCATTTATCAGGTTTTATTTATTCAGAAAAATCTCACCCTCCTTGAAACCCAGTGCAAGAAAACAGGTATCACTTAACACTATCAGCAGGAGAATCACATTACCCAAGGGAAGAACCAGGAGGAGGAAGAAGCCTGAAGGAAAGAAAACAGGCAACAAACAGGAACAACAATGGAAAAATACAGCCAAACACATCCCTTTTGGGAGATGGGAAAAACTTAAGTTCTTGCTTCCAAGAACTTACATTTCCTTTTTTTTGTTTCCCTCCTCCATCTTATTAACTTACTCATTAAAAATATATTTTTGAGTAATAACTATAGGGAGTTTCCTGTTTACACAGCAGTAACTCCCTGAGCCAATAAACTCGGTGGCCTGAAGTACCTGGCCTTGACACACTCGGTTCAGGATACAGTAATTACCCTGTAAACAGGAAGCACGCTACTGCTAACGCACCAAGGTGCAAAAACAGAAGGCACACAGAAGTTGTGCTTCTGCACTAGCACCTCTTGCAGCTTACCTAAAGTGCAAATCAGAAATTAAATCAAATACAAATAATACTTTATGGCTCTCTATACTAGCGTTTGCCAGCTCTCTTTGCACCTTTCTTTAAAAGTCACAATTACTTTTTTTTTTTTTAAATTCTAAACATTTTCCATGGGCTGACATAGTCAAAATCTTTTCAGGCATAGCAGGGTAGCTTTAGAAAGGCTTTTAGACATGAGCAGATTAGAGCAAGGTAGAGGAAATTTTTGTTATAACCGACACCTTACTGTTTCAGGGTTTTAAGTAGGGTTAGCGTGCATACATTCTGAAAGGTATAAGACTTTGAGAATCATTGACATGGTAACACCAGCCGAATGTATGCATGTTATCAGTAGAGACTTACATGCCAGGAGGCAGCTATGTGAATGGATCCCTGCTGACTTGCATCATAAAAGTCTGCCTTTTGAGAAGAGCAGGAGCAGTAACAAGCCTTATATTCCTGATATGGAAGGCAAATTCTGAATCAGTGAGTTTTGCACTTCAATTTAGATAAGCTAAACTACTTTACAGAAGTGATATCCCTACCTCATCTTGGTTCTCTACAGTTCCCATTTATACAGGCTGCCACAGGCCTACAAACAAATAATTTTCAACAATATACTTCTTGAGCAGTCAGCAACCATCCCCATTCCATCCCTTGATGGATAGCAGAAGGCCTAGACATAAAAGCAGGCGCAAATCTTGTCTCTAACACAGGCCATGATTATTCTCAGTCAACCTAGTCATTCCTCAACAGTGACCCACCTCTAATACAGTCTTCAGAGAATGCCCATCAGCAGTCACTTACACAAAAAACATGGACAAATGTTATTAGGGAGGACTTCCAAGCAGCTGTCATAACCTGGTCCTGAAAGGCATTCTACAGACACCAAGGGAATTCTTCAACATTCCTTTTAGAACAGGATTGGGTAAAACAATTATCTGTCCCAGCAAGTGCTGAAAGGAAACCCACTGCCAAGTTTAGGACCCTTTCCCCCCTCCTTTCTATTGGGATTTTCCATATTGTAATCTATGTGGAAAGTCACAGTTACCAGCTGCTTTGCTGCACTAAGGAGTCTCTCATACCCAGTAATTCTTGAACAAGAGCCCATAAATAACAGAAGAATAGTTAAGGTTGGAAGGGACCTCTGGAGATGGTTTATTCTATCTAGAGCCACTATACCCTTGAGGAAAAAGCATCAGCAGCTATCCTCAGCACTTCCACCCCGCAACCTGCTACGGTAAAGGTGATAGACTCATGCTTCCCATATTTGAACTTTGTGCCATGTGGAAGGCATGAAACCCACCAAAAAGTCCACAACTGGCTTTAAAGCACAGTCTTCTCCAAGCTGATCTGGTGCACGGGCAGATTCAACGAGTTCAGAGATAACATAAACTGCCGCTCCGTTTAAGTGCGCCTCCATTCAACTCATGTTGACACCACCATCTAGTGGATTACACGCTGATAGGTTTTTTTATGACACTTTTTATTACACTTTTTGTAACAAAACACCCATCAAGGTAATACCACAGGGTAATTTCTAGTAAAATTAGCAAATTAAGTTATTACTTATAAATAATGCATGATAAATAAACTTCTTGTGTGCATGCCAGTCACTGAAAGGTCACTCCACCAGCAGCTTACTTAACCAATACAATAGGAACACAGACACAAGAATTGCTTCAGTCTTTGACTACAGTATCAAGAGGTTAAGTGCCACTAAAACTACTAGCATCAGGTCCTGCATATTTAACAAAATAAAACTCCAGAGAACAGATAAAGACTCATGGGATGAGCAAATGTTGAATTAGTTGTAGCATTACAGCAGTAATAATAACCTTTAATCAGATCAAGATTAGTTGAAGAACAGGTATCTTTATCGCTTTCTGTAAGCTTCACAATCACCTCACCATTTTCACCTCTTTACATAATTCCAACTTCTATCATCTCTCTCCAGAAATATTTCTGTTCTTCAGGGGATGCTTTTATTCTCTTTTCAGGTTTTGCTTTCACAGTTTTGAAGTGAGTTGGACAATACCTATCAGTGCTATAGTGTACCTTTTGCACTCCAGGCCTTCATCACTTGGTGTTTGCTGTGGAGAGGTGCTTCCTCAAGCTAACCAACAGCTACTGGGCTGACCAGACATTTTTACTAAGCTGTCCACTCTGCAAGCGCAGGCAAACATACTGAGCATCATGAGTGAAGCATCCTGGAACTGCATTGTTCTGGAAAGAGGAATTCAGGCATTTTGTTAGCTGGCTGCACCGATCCAGCTACTCTAGCCAATTATCTGCAGCCTTAAAATAAGAATTATCATTTAGTCTACAGCGCTGTCGGGGTTTAGTCCCAGCCAGGAATTAAGCACCACACAGTCACTCACTCACTCCTCCCCCCTCACAGTGGCATAGGAAAAATCAAAAGAAAGTGAAATTCACATGTTAAGAACAGTTTAATAACTAAAATAGAATAAAACTGAGTAACAATAATAACTGTAATGAAAAGGAATATTAACAAAGAGAGAAGTCAAACTCAAGAAAAGACAAGTGATACACCTGCTTACCACCCACTGACCAATGCCCAAGCGGCAATCCACCCCTCCTGGCCAACTCCCCCAATTTATATACTGGATATGATGTTCTATGGTATTGAACAGCCCTTTTTCTAGTCCGGGTCAGCTCTCCTGGCCATGTTCACTCCCAGGTTCTTGTGTATCTGCTGGCTAGCAGAGCAAGGAAAAGTGAAAAGTCCTTAACTTAGGATAAGTGCTACTTAGCAACAACTAAAATGTCAGTGTGTTACCAACATTATTCTCACATTGAATCCAAAACAGGGTACCAGGTACTAGGAAGAAAATTAACTCTATTCCAGCCAAAACCAGGACAAGCGTTAATCACCTTGTTACACATCCACTCCGGTTCTAAAAAAAAAAAAAAAAAAAAAAAAAAAAAAAAAAAAAAAAAAAAAAAAGGCAAAAGCAAGCAACAGGTAGATCTTTTGTAACAGTAGCATGCCAGTTAATAGAATCTAAAATACCATAGTGGATAAAACAGGCAATTACTTGATAATTGCAAGTTACACACAGCCATAATAAGTGGCCCAAAGGCCAGGCCTGAAAGGGTAGCTAAAATAAGGTGGCAAATTTTCACCTAGGTTATGGTAGGAATGAAGTATGTTCTAATCCCAAATTTCTTTAAAAAATAATCTGGATTGTTTAAACACACTCGTTTCAGATTTGAATGGATACATTACAAAACAAGCCGAATGTCACTCAGATCAAGAAAAAAAAAATTGAGAAAAATAAAACCAAAACAGGCAAAGCAAGCCTGGGGAACAGCAATACCTAACACTGGGGAAGGCCGTAATTACTTTGCCCCCACTGAAGAGCCACGGGAAGAGCTCCAACACCCCACAGAGCTGCCGCAATAGCGCGGGAACGCCAGGACATGGAGGCTTCCCCTCAGCTCTCCCCACTGCGAGGGGGCAGAAACCTCTTCTCTCCCGCTACAGTTCTTCTCCCAGCGGGGGAAACAGCTCAGGGCCACCCTCACGGACGGGCCCGACCACGCAGCGACGCCGCCCGCAGCGCCAACGGACAAACCCGGCGGGTCCCGACAGCCCGCGGGCGCCGCGCGGGACAACTTCACGCGCGGCTCCCCTTCACGCGCGCGCGCGCGTACCCCAGCCC